CCAATCACCTCCGCATTCTCCATGGTAGTTCACTTACTGGAGAAACATTGTCTTTTATTCTTAGTATTATGTTGTAGGATGTTAGGAAAATTCAGCAAAGGACCTCAGGATGTCTGTAGTTTAACCCCCTGTGCAGAGTAGTGTCAGCTCTGAAGTCAGACCATTGCTCAGGGCTTTGTCCAGTCAGGTACTGAAAGTCTCCGAAGATGGATACTGGGCAGCCTCTCTGAGCAACCTTTGCTGAAACCTGACTATGCTTATAGTTAATAAATATTCCTTAAATCTTATATGGACTATTCTTCGGAGCAGTGATGCATGTAGCATTACACATTTAAGTTCAAAATTTCTTGTCCTTCCCATCCCCTAAATCAGCAGTAGCTTCAAATTTTTCTTCATCTGTCTCACATGGTCCAGATAAGTTGGTCCGTTGTAGTGCTGCAGATACATCTGTAGTGATGTCTGCCTGTGTAAAAGCCTGAAGAAACTAAAGGGATGCAGTAGCAGCTTCCTGCTTAGGCTTCCCTTTCTGCCTGTTTTTATTATTTTGAAAATGTGGATCAATGCATAATTTTTAAAGAGATTGTAAAGTGAGCAAAACCAGAAGTCTTACTTTGCTTGAATTGCCTGCAAGGAGTACCCCTGATCCAGTGTGTCTTTAAGGGAGATTTGTGCTGCGGGAAAGTACATAGATATTTGCAGTACTCAATTTCATAATTTAAGTACTTTTTGACATCCTTGGGAACGTATTTTTTTCTTCTTAAGGGAGAAATAATTACAGTAATGCAAGATGTTGTTATTACTCAGTTAATTATTGTTTAACCAGAACCATAATTTTTGGTACTGTATGAAACACAACTTGTACTTATTTTCATCTGTGGATGAGAGCAGGAGTATTTGCTATCTTTGTACTAGAGCATGTTCATATGTTACATTGAATAACAAGAAGCCAAAGTCTGTGGCTAAGTTTCATAGGAAAGGCAGCATGTGAGATGTGTGTTTCCTCCGATTTCTAGAGGGTTACAGTAATTGCCTGTAATGGGGCCATATTTTCAAATCACTCTGTTCTGTTTCTAAAATCTTGTCCATCACTCAGTGCAATTCTTCAAAGAACAAGTATAGTGGCATGCTGTCTTCAAGGCTAGGAATGTAAGAGGTGCGAAAACTGTCTAGTGGAAATTTGCTTGCACTTATTGCTGAAGAATAATTAAGTACTTTGAGTCTTGTTTTTTGTTCTATTAGGTAAACTGTACGCTGGAAACAAGTGAGCCACTTACAACCTTTCCCAGCTATGTAACTTCATGAAGTACAGCACTTCATCAAAGCAGATCCATTAACCCTCTGACTGGTACTCTTCTCTTGGCTTTGATTGCAGCACCACACAGAAGCACCTAGCCCTTCATTGCTACCCCCGTCAGCTTTACCGTTAGATGTATTAAACAATGCCGTTGCTGGATTTAGTACTGTGGAAGAACTTATCCGGTACCTTGAACCAGATCGGTGGCAACTGGATTTGGAAGATTTGTACAGGCCAACGTGGCAACTTCTTGGAAAGGCATATATTCATGGGAGGAAATCAAGAGGTAAATTACTCTTCTGTTTGGCCTTGCGGCTTTCTACGGTTGTTTTGTCTTAACAAAGAAACAGTAATTAAAAGCATTCTTCACCTTGAATTTTTTTTTCAAGAAAGGATTATGTTACAAATACAGCAGAGATCATTGCTGTTAGCTATTCTCCCCGTTATGTTGTCTGAAAGGACAATAGCTAAACTCAAAACTTAAAGGAATTTAGCAGGATAAACTAACAAAGGAGGGGGGGCGGTGTGGAAAAACCTGCATAGAACCATATGGGGGTAGCTTTCTCTAGGGAACTGGGAGCATCTTTATTTCCACAAAGTAGCAGGTCATCTTGGCTGGGTGACACAATCGAACATTGTGGTTTTCTTTTTTTTTTTATGAAGGGCAAAATCTTTATTTTTTGTTTGGGTTATGTAATTTCTTACACTTACTGTATCATGTGAACATTGGTTTATTTACTCAGAATTGTTCCAGTCTCTACACCATAGGCATTGAGAGCAATTAGCTAAATGGTTCTCTTCTGTTGTACCTCATGAGAACCCTGTGTCCATGTCCAGTTTGATCATGCGGTTGTCAGCTTAACCAGATGTAAAGTAGATGATGTATTTCATGACTTGTGGAGCTATTGCTTGTTCAGCAAGTCATTTTCTTCCATCTACATTTGACATTCATGAATCTTCTACCACATATCATCCAGATGCTGCACGCTATTTCATGTTTATGGATTCCATGTGGATGGATAGCGTGCTGGCAATACCTCCTTCCTAGCCCACCATACAGCATGAAAATTAAAACATATGAGCATAACTCAATCAACTCCTCTGTTAACAAATGTAAACTAGATTACCATCTGATCAGCAAACAAAGGGAGGAAGTAAAGCCTTTCCTAACTCCAATTTAAGTTTTTGACAGATGATTCTCAGGCTAGAGCCAAAGAGGAGGAAATTTCTTTAAAAGCTTTCAGCAATGGCCCATGCCTTTTGGATAGACATTTAACACTTTCCTAATTGAAGAGACTCAATATTTGCATATTGTAGGCCATAAGCATACAGTAAGTGGGAGAAAAACAAAATGTAATTTGTGAAACCTTATATAAACTAAAATGGAGGTGTTAGGTAACATCTATATAGAGAAAAGCAACTCCCTGCAAGACATATCCTAGAAAGAAGCTATCAGAGTAAATCTTTTAAAGATTTCTAATTAGATGCTGAAATAGATTTCCACTGAATAAATATATCACGGTATTGCTGAATTTCTCTTTAAGAGACCACCCACAGACTGCATTACCAGTGTGTAATGTAATAGCCTGAGGCAGAAAGTATGTCCAGTTGAGATGACATAGGGCTGTCCTGTTAGGGCTATCGGGAAAGCAAACTTTTTTTTTCTTAATGTTATTCCTTCTAGTAACACGTTTGCTGTATTTAAAAACCTTTTTAAGAAATGTTTGGGAGAAGATGATGTTTGGGTTTTGCAAACTCTTTGATTCTATATTTAGATCAGTTTTATTTTTGCAGTATTTCAGTATAAAAGCTGAATTACTGTCCAGCTTTCATAGACAAAAATCAGTTTACAACTAGATTGAATGAAAATCTAATTAAAAGTGTATGTTACTTTATGCAGAGTATTGTCCTCTACTTCATAATTCATATGAAAAAGACTATATTTAGACAACCTAAATTCCACAGAACTTCTGAGTCTGATGTTTTCTCTGAATAAAATGCTTCCAAAAACTTCTAGCCAGGAAAGAAGAAACACCAAGTTCAGAGCCTTTGATGTCTAAATATAGTCCTAAATTCTTTTGTAATATTAAACATACTTAAAAATAAAATGTATTTTGCAGTGCAAAAAAAATGATCCCATCGCTTCCCACAGAAATCTGTGCATAATCATTTGATCATATTCTGAAGTCTGCTGAAGAAGAAGAGAGTCACAGTCCAGCCGTAGTCCTTAGTAGATATTTTTCTGTTATATGACATTTTTGTACTCCTCGTTTTGAGTTGAAGCTTTGTTGCAGCACTGTCCTATTGTAGGAGCCAGTAAGAAACTTACACTCCCAGGAACGTCTCCAAGGTGCTTAGGAATGAAAACCATCCTGCTGCTATCTGTGCCCACACACAAGTGCCTCAACCAGAATTTAATTTGTTTCATTGTCTTTGAGAACAGCCTCCAGCTGGAAAAATGTTTTCGGAAAGAGGGTTCCTCGTGGTACTTGATACGTGTCCCAGGTGATGCCAGACAGTTGCATTGCCAATTGCAGTACACACACGCTTTCAGGCTGGTGTGAACATGGTTACTTCAGTTGTATTGCCAGTGAAGGCACACCTTTGAAACAGACTTTACTGTAGACCTACCTGTGTCTACATTTTTTCCTCCCCTTTTTTTCCTTCTCGCTTTATTCTTTTTTTTTAGTGTTTCCCATTCATGTGCTACTGCAGAGCCTTCCATTCCTCCTGAGCTAGTGCTAGACAAAGGAACTTTGACTGCTGTGTCAAACATGATACATGAGTGGAAGCCAAGTTGAAGGAGTGTTTAAATGTTCACATTATAACAGGTACTGTAACTCAGTACACTTGGGAAATCCACATAACCTTTTATTGTGGTTAAGTAAACACTTTTAAGGGAATATATACATTCTCTCATCTAGCTTCGTGCCCACGGTGCGTTAAAATAAATTTTGAACAGACATACACTCTTTGAAAAAATAACAGCTTCATTCACACACTTCAAAGGAGTGATTATATAAGCACTAGATAAATTTGCCACAGACCTTTTAATGAAATTGAATTACATAAGGTAGGGCAAGGGTTCATGTTGAGGTATAATAGCTATATACCTTAGTACATTGTAAAGCATGGAAACCAAACATGACATCTTTCATCTCTCCTGAAGCCTTTTGTAACAATAAAGGCACACTATCTGCCAAGGGCTGGTTGCGTGTTCTTCCGCAGAACCTTTTTAAAATATGGGTCTGCAGGTCTGAGGGGTTCAGCTCAAATTCATTCTAATTTTGTGACAAAATATGTAATACACTTGCCGCTCATTTTAGTGCGTTGCCCTTTCCTCTGTGTTATAACTACAGCTGGTGTCAGGAAGCGGGTGCGTTCCTCGGCTGCTGCCATTAGGCAGGAGGTAATGGAGAAGCACGGCGCCACACAGGCATCTCTCCCACTGGTCGGTGGGCTTGCTGCATGAGGCATCAGTGCCCAGCTTCGGTTTTCAGTTTGTTACAGCCAGGGGCTGAGCAACAATTGTGTTAGGACGCATAAGCTTAGCTTCTTGAAATTCACTGTACCAAGCAACGTCAGTCTCTGTGGAAATCTGCCAGTAGAAAGTGTTAGTAGAACTAGCATTTCTCTCATTGTTTTATGCATTTTATCCTCGTTCTGACAGTTCACTTATTATATGCTTGAAAACATAATAGGAGAAAGAAGTACTCCATTCCTATCCACAGGCCTTGATTAATGGAGGTAGACATGTCCACCCTCTAAATGACTCAGCCTAGAGCTATTAGCTGATCAGAAGAGTTTAAATCATTTCTGATTTCTCACAGTGTATTTCTCCCCTGGAAGATTTGTCTCTCTTTCCCTCTGCTCCCTTCTCAGCTTTCTGCAAGGAATGCTCTTGCAGTGTGGGAGGCAGGCTAGTGTCTATCAGTAACTTTGTTGGAGTTGTTACACACTCCTCACTTTTAAAAATCAGATTGTTTATTTAGGAACCTACGTTAACCTGATAGGGATGGAATGAAGTGCCTCAGCTTGGCATTCACTGTGAGTGCAAGCAGAGAGAAGGCTGCAGTATGTTTAACTGGCCTTTCACAACTGTAAACCCTCACTTATGGATGCCAGTATATGGACATGGTCTGCAAAAGAAATGTTTGAAGAAACATGGAATGAAATTGCTGCCCAAACATCTGCTTCTGGGACAGTACTGGTGAGCATTTCTACTAGAGAAATGCAGATTATAAATTCTGTCTCTTTCTTACCTGTTTAAATAGAATTAAGAGGTATTACCTTGCCTCGATAGGCTCAAGTTCTCCTCGGTGACCCTTAGTGGCTCCTTACATAGACAGTAAAGGGGGGAAAAAAAGTATTTCTCTAGAGGGTGATTCAGATCAGGGACATATTTTAGCTTTATTTTATAGCTTTTTATTTACAAACTGCTAACGATAACTATGAAGCATTTGCCAAGTAATATCAATACACAGGGATATTACATTGCTTTTCATCAAAGTAAAAAATGTTATTAATTCTTTCACTAAACCAATCCTAGTTTTTTCAGTCTTAACTGGCTGTTTCAAGGCCTGTTATTTCTTGTCAATGAAGCTAAGCTGAACCTAAAGGATCTTTCCCTGTTTCAGATATTTTCATGAGCTTGCTGTTCAACCATTGGCATAGTACAATTTTAGTGTGATACAGTGGAACCAGTTTGTAGGGAAACTGGTGCCAGATATTAGTATCTTTAACTTGCTCTCCAAGTTAGGTGCATAACAAGGAGGAGCTGTGTTTTATTTAAGACACATCAAGTGAAAATGAAACCTTGAGAAGCAACAGAAATTCATCTATATGCTGCTATGGAGGAGGGCAAAAATGGAATCTGGTAATAATTATATAGCTACACATACTTGTGAACTTATTTGTTGTCTGTACAATAGTCAGTGATGATGACATAACTTTCTGAAGTTATTAGGGCATGGAAGTGAGTTCCGCTTAGACATAATCTTTCTTATACTTACATTGCCCTTGCAAAGAAGCAGTAATTGAGATCTTAGCAGGGAAGAAGTTTGAAATCTTTATGCAAATGAGTTAAAAGTATGTTTGGAGATTTTCAGGGTCCTTAATTGCTATGTGTGTTTCTCTGGTCCAAAATTAGTATAGAATAGCAACACTAGGCCTCAGCATATGAGCGTGAACAAAGGAAACTCCATTAGGGTTGATTTGATAAAACATTTATTGGAACATGGTAGCCAGAGGTTGCTTTGTTTAATTTGAACCAACTTTCCCAGAGCTACGAAATAATTGGTGAATATTCCTATACAAAGATCATTCCATTTAGGTTTCATGGTATTCATGTAACTGCAGCCTCATACTGGTGTGCTAAGCCTGTACCACCTGCACAAAAAATGAACTTTCCTCAAGGGTTCTGCCCTGCTGAAGTTGGTTTACCACCAGTGAAGTTGGATTATGAATGAGGAAAAACTCCAGTGTGTCTGTCTTTCTGCAGTGGTCGATCTCAACCTCCTGAAGGAGGAGGTGCGGCTGTATAGTTGTACTCCCCGCAACTTCTCAGTGTCCCTGAGGGAGGAGCTGAAGCGAACTGACACCATCTTCTGGCCACTGTGTCTGCTGGTTAAACGCTGTGGTGGAAACTGTGCCTGTTGTCACCAGAGCTGCAATGAGTGCCAGTGTGTGCCAACGAAAGTCACCAAAAAATACCATGAGGTACGTGCTTTTCTTACAGTTGCACGTATCGAAATACTGAAAGCCACTTAAGGGATTTGTTTTCACTATAGGAATGCCCCAATATTAATATTTTAAAAATGTATGTATTACACTTACGGTAAATATTTTGTTACCATTTTAATGAGGTGTTACGTAAAAAAAGTATTCTCTTCTTTGTTAAAATATTTTTTTTGTGGGACTATTAAATCATTCCTGAAGTATTTGTTTACTGGTGCAGTTCAGACACGTCACACACACACCTCCTTGTTCAATTTACTCTAGTGGTAGATGTGAACTTTATGAAGCAATAGATATCTGTCCATTTCTGTTGTTATAAATCTATTGGTAAAATTATTTACTATAGAATTATCTAATAATTCCATTGGGTTACCTATACTATTAGCCCTTTAATAAAATTAAGTAGAAATAAGAAAGTGTGAGACTCTCTTCTTTGATAAAAGCAAGGATCTGTTCAAAATGTGTTAATCAGTGTTGTAAAGGGCTTGAGGTAAAAGCAAGAATAATTAGTGGGCGGAATAATGAAGACTTTCAGCTGAGGAAAGCCTGTTTCTTTTAATAGGCTTCCTGTTATCCAGTGTGTTTCCAGTGCAATCTAGCTCATAGTCTAGGTGTGTGGTGAAGCACTTGCTGTTTTCTTGATGCTTGGCTGCTTCTCCTTGCAGGTTCTTCAGCTGAAGCCAAGGATTGGTGTCCGGGGACTCCATAAATCATTGACAGATGTACCCCTGGAACACCATGAGGAGTGTGACTGTGTGTGCAAAGGGAATACTGAAGGATAAACACGATCTAATTGTGCTATTTTCTTTCCAAGCACATTCAATCAATGGCTGATTCTATTATGGGGCTTGTGCATTATCTCCTTCTGTAATCTCAGTTGTTTGCTTTGGGGATCTTCCATCTTCAAGATTTACAGTGAGCTCTAAAAGAGGAGAAGCCAAACTGGGATTATATGTTGTGTGACAGCTCTGTTTGGAGGCCCAGTGAAAGGATGGGAGAAAGGCATCAATGAGGGATTTAAAATATATGTATTGTTTTGGTCCCCCACAATTTTCTTGACAATACATGGATTTATAATTTAGGAGTAAAAATAAAGTTAGAAGGCTTACATCATGGAGACTTGATCCTGCTGGCTGTCTCGTTTCTACAGCTCCAGTACATCTGGCCTCTGGTTGAAAACACCTGAAATCTTTCTTTCTGTGTTCAACTACTCCTATGTACTCTAACTCGAAGCATTCTCTGTTGTATAAACTTGGGTTAAACCAGACTGTTTTGTTCCAAATTAAACTTAATTTGTCTAATGCTGGTAGGAAGGACTGGATTTTTCCGTACGCTCTAGTAAAGCTCCTGCGTTTTAGAAAGAAGACTGGACAATAACGTGAGCTAAGGAAGCAAACATTGAAAAGAACAGCGCCTTCATTCTTACTACTATGGCTGATGATTTTTTGTTTGTTTGTTATTTTTTATCGTGTACATTTTTATACTCTCCTTTTGACAATATAACTATTTGCTTTTCTAAACTTGTTAAATATATCTATTTTTACCAAAGGTATTTAATATTCTTTTTTTATTACAACCTAGATCAACTATTTTTTAGTTTTGTGAGACTTTAAAGCCAGATTTATACAGTTGGAGGAACAGAAATGTAGTTGCAATGGGAAAGGAGCATGATCTCTTTGCAGTTTGTTGCTACATAGTAAGAAAATACAGTTTTTTACCTGGATGCACAGTAATAATAGAGGTGTGTGGCTGAACCTCTAAGCTTGGTAACTCCATGACACTGAAAGTATGAGAGATAGACGTTACTGTAAGTGGTTTCAGAAGGTGACACTAAAAATTCCCTCTCTCCATTCTGGCCTTTGTTCCGGTAGAAGAGAAATGAGCATAGATAGCTGCATTCTGGCTTGTTTAACTCGTTAATTTCTTTAATTTAGGATGATCTACAACGTAAGAAAAGAACCCCGGCGGCTTGCAACCTTCATGATGGATCATGTTCATGGGAAAGCAGTCTTGTTAATGTTGAAGTGTATGGTTTTCCACTGACGGTCATAACTGTTTAGGTACTGTTCACTCACACTCTTCAGTACAGTTTGATGAACTATGGTTTTGTTCTTCTGTACATTATATTTTTTAACCAATACACTTATCCCACCCTATGCAAATTGAAAAGGAAACAGTAAAGTGTTTTGCTTGTAAAATGCTTTAACGTTATGCCTGGTTTATTTTTTGACTATTGGATTTGCAGAATGTAATGAATCACCAAATAAAGTAATAATGCTAATTTTGGGAGAATAAAAGTTTCTGTGTGGTTGCATATTTGTATCTGTTCAATGTACAATAACAAGAGAAGATAGAGTGTGATGTTCTACTTAGCTGTTTGAAAGTCAGTTATGAAAAAGTCTTCTGTTACCAAGACTTCTACTTTACTGTAAATTCACAAGAATAAAAAGGGGAAAGAAGGAAGGAATGTGATGGTATTTGTGTAAACTTTAGAAATGTTCAAAATTGTGTGGATGTGAAGCCATCAAATTGAAATAAGATCTTCTGTTATTGTTTCCATTGTGAAAATGAGTTTTATTGAAAATGTGGAGAGTTTTGCAAGTTGATATGGCTTTCTGGTATCAGTTCTGGAAAATTCTGAGGTGGCTTTTGATTCTGTCTTAGCTGGTCTGTTTTGCCCCACCCTCAACCTCCTACTGAATAAGAAAAATGTCTGGTGAAAATATGCATTTAATTACCCAGTCTGAAAATTAAAACCTTATCAGAATGTAAAATTATAGTCACATAAGAAATCTGGTTTACTTGAATTTTGAGTCTTTGACCAGGATAAAGAGTGTTTTGTAGGGATGTTGGGGATTTTTTTCCATTCATATTGTTCTTTTTTTGTGATTTAAGGAGCTTTTGGAAAGCAAGTTGAGATAAAAGCAGAAATTACAACCTCTGGCATCGTAATTCAGCAGAAGAATTGAAAAATGTAATTCCATTACAGAAATTTCTGCTGTAGGACATGCAGGAGGTCTCATCCTCTCTGTAATTTGCTAGTAGAAGACAGACACGCATTTTGAGGCAGGTATTTGGTGGTAGCAGAAGAATGGGGAGTTTCTGGAACCATATGGGTTATGGAGGGCAATGTTTTTTCAAATGGTGCAAGTATTTGGCTCACTTTCTTACTTGCCAGTTTCTTGCGCTGGTTTCCTTCCCAATTGCTGCCTATAGACCTGCATTTGAACTCCTTATCCCTTTTGCTCTTTACAGCCCACTTCACAGTGCTCTCTCATCTGATCCCAAATCAACATCCCTCCTGTTTGCCGTCCTCCTGACCAGCACAGTTAAGCGCTTTCCCTCATCCTTGGCTCTGTGCTGAAGCTGCATCTTCTCCTACTGCCCAGACTTTGTTTTTCCCACTTCCCCTCAGATATTCGAGGGATTTAGCACTCCAACTCTTCCCTAGCTTAAAGAGTATGGATGGTCTCTCCTTTAAAGGATGGGATTTGGGAAAAATACCAACCAAGCGAAGCAGTGAAGGGTACAGTTCTCCTGCTTTGGGCTGTGTCCTCTCTCCTGCTGGGTAGAGGGGGTGCCCCCGGCAGTGGGTAACTACTGCTGGTGGTCTGATGGGACAGACCTGTACTGCATCCTGCTTGGGCACGGTAGGCTTGATCTAGTGATCCTGCCAAGCTTTCTGTGGTCTTTGCACTAACAAGAGTCTTAAAAAAGTCAGGGAGGGGAGAGGTGGTTACAGGGGCCTGACGGAGGCTGTTGGGGAGACAGCCCCCATTACCCCTCCCTTCTACGTGCCTCTGCTGGTGGTGACGTACATGAATGGTTAGTGGGAGGTGGTGTGGGTCACCTCCGATGTGTGGGTCAGGGAAGCATTGGGGGTTGGAACTACGTGATCTTTAAGGTCCCTTCAAATCCAAACCATCCTATGATTCTAAAACATTTTTAAGATATCTTTCTGACAGTGCAGGAGAGCTGCTGTCACAACAATAAATCACATTGGTGGACTCCCGTCGGTGGGAAAGGGTGAGGTGAAGTAACATGTGGGGTGAGGGAGCACAGGTGGGCTGGGCCAGGACGGGGCCAGCATGGGGAAATACAGCAGAAAAGGACATGAGAGAAGTGGTGCTGGTGGCCCCACCTCCTAATTTGCTGACAGCTCTTAATGTGCTGACAGCTCCCCCGTGGTGCGGCCTGTAGCTCCCTGACACCTCCCTCCCCTGGGAGGTCTGGTCAGCCCCAGGTGCAAGGCTGTCCTCAGCAGGCCCGGTGGGGACGGTGCCAGCGGTGGAAGGACTGGAATGGGTACGAACACGACACTGGGTTTGATTGGATGCCCTGAACATTGTCGGTATGTGGTCTTAAACTTTAAAAAATATATAAGATATGAAACTTCACAATTGCACCTAAGTACAATAGATACAGTTTTAGCATAAAGGGATTATTTCACACGATACTTACAGAAACAATTGCTTAACTCTAACTCTCCTAATTTTCTTAAAATTCCCCCAGTGAGAGGTTTTCATTTCTGCCCCTGAAGATTTTCTTACCCAAAAGAGAAATTATTCAGTCAGGTGCCTCTGAGTAGCGTTTAACCTCTTGCGGCCCTGAGGTGAGCCAGGGCTTGTACCCAGTGTTACACACAGCATTCAGGAATCGGTCTTTGGAGGGATTTGCTTCATTATTTTTATTTATATTCTGTTATTTATAAGAAAAAAGTGTGGTAAATATTGAGGATATTAATTGTGTGTTACTAGCAAACTGTGGTGCCTTTCACAGTTACAGGCCATTTCAGGTGAATATTAAGGGTGCAGCGTGCATAGAAAAAGACTGACAAAGTGGGTAGAAAGCCCATGATTTTAAATGTGAAATAAAAGTTGCAGGCTTTGATCTTACATCTTGGTGGAGATTTTCCTACGTTGCTGCTGTCTAATTTAAGTTGTGAGTTCCTGAACTGGTTTAATGTAAACATCAGTGTGTGGGAATAGAGAGGGAAATGACTCTTTCCAATGGGCCTGAGCAGTGGAAACAGCGGAGCAGAATTAAGTAGCTTCTGTAAACAGGCAAAATCCAAATAGCGTAGGCTGTGTTTTGTTGGTTTTATCATGGACCCAATAAATGGCTACGGTTAGAAGTAATTATTCCCCCTCAGAGGACAAAGTGGGGAGTTGCTGACTGATGGTGAACCTTTTTTTTTTTTAGTGGATCCTGTAGATATTCACATTCCTGGAACCCTCCTGTCAGCTGTGATTGGCATGGGAATGGATGTGGAGCAGCACCAAAACTTTAGTCACCAAGGGCGTTAACTGCAGATCTGTTGGCTCTTAAACACTTTTAAGTTTCCCTGCTCTTTGTCTGCCCTCTTGCACAGACTCACAGCTCCTTTTCGGCAGAAGAGGGAAAAAAAATGTGGATGATACACCAGTTTGTGCGGAGGGGAAAGACAGATAGAAGCACAAAGCTGCCTTATTTAGTAGCTATTGCATTAGCTAATGTAAACTGTTACCTGATTTTCTTCCTAATGGAGGACTATGTTGAAGCTGTTATAAATTTGCAATTCAGATACTAGCTGCTTAAATAGTCTCATTTTGGTCACACCAAACTCTGGAAATAAAAATTGGAAACATTTACATTCTGCTTGGTTTCTCAAGATACGTTAGTAGTGCTATTTGTTAAAAGCTCGATCACAAAACCTCATGCAGAGATGCTAAAACAATCATGATTGCAAGATTCTCATTCAAACCAATTTCTGAAGCTAAATAGACCAATTTACTGCTTGTGATGTGATATTTAAATTAGTTTGAGTACGTTTGCTCTTCATATTGTTTTTTGCATAGAATGCTTTATCAGGCCACTTGCCTTTCGAAGTCATTTCATGGACCTTTTAAACCCAGGGACAGTGTTTTGTTTGTTTGTCTGCCAAAATCACAGCATGAAAACATAGCTACTTTTTTCAGCATAAATTTGACAAAGCTTTTTAGAGAACAGTTTGCCTGTTGCCTCCCTGGAACTCTCCTAGATTGTTGACAGAAAAATAAGTTTACAGCTCAGTCATGGGAGAAAGATGACAGCTTTTTTGGAAGTGTGATTCAGAGCACGTAAGCTAGATTACTGCTCTGAATCATGCTCTGTTTCAGTCTTCATTGAACTCGTCCGTGTTCATCAAGTACAGAGTCACAGTCTGGCCCTCCCAGTTGAGGCAGGTCTGTTAGATCCATGAGGTTAATCAGTGGGAAAACCCCATTTACAGATCTGTTTTCTGAACAAAACATCTCTTTCTCAAAGTAGACTCTCAAGAAGT